ATATAAATCCTATTATGAAAGCTGGTGTTATAGACTAGTAACAAATGAATAATAATTAATACCCCCACATTTGTTAATGCCAGATGCTGTCAGATTCAGGGACTTTAAGAAAAAGAAAGGTTGGAAGTGATTGAAGTGAGTCAGTTGATTGCCATAAGGTCAAATTATAAAATGAGAATTAAACATTGAAATCCTCTTTCTTCAATGCATATAAAATATGTGTCAAAGAAAGGACAAACAGGGGGTAGAGATTTCCAGAGGAGCAACATGGAAGATATACATTTGTTACTCTTACTTGTAAGTGAGTGTGGAAACAAAAGGCAGAGGGACCCATGGATAGGAGGACACAGGGTTTGAATTGAGAAGAGTTAAAAATTATGGAATGAGCCCTGCCCTTAAGGGCTCTGTGACTGCTAAAAGTTGTCATGAAAGCTCTTCCAGAGTTGCAGTAAAGGTATAGCTGTGCCCATTTTGTGTCCGTGGGATGCCGTCGTAAGCGCAAGCCAGTTGCCAAGTGCCCAGATCATGATCACATGACTACAGGAGTGCTGGGACGGCCAGTTGTAATCACCACCTGTTCAGCGTTGTTGTAACTTCGAATGATCGCTGAACAAGTGGTTGTTACCTGAGGACTACCTGTGAGGAAAATATATCTTTGGGTGAATCTTTGGGTGAAAGAAGCAAGTTTTTAGAGGCCTCAGATGAATGGGATCGCCTTAATAAAATTGAAACGTAAAGGAATGTGCACACCTTGAAGCTGGTGTGAACTAGGCTGACTGTAAACTCCTTATCACAAACATCCCCATAGCAACATAAGAGAGGATGCCTTCTTCCTGGCAGTTGGCACCTTAAACAATTTGTTTCTTCCTCTCTGACACTATTGCTTTCCTTATAGATAGCAGTTGTCCTGTCCTTGTAGACAGCAGACAAGAGAGGGGCAGAAAGTAACTTGAGAAGTCTTGCTCATTTAGGTATGCCTGCATCATCATATGAATATGTAGACGTATGTGTTCTTTTCCCTTCCCCTTCTTGTAGAACTGTATAAATATTAGGGCATCCATTTTGCCTACAGGAGAGAATGTCTCCCACTAACTTTTGGTGGGGTCCCCCCTCCAGTATGTACTGTCTAATAAACATTGCAGTGAAGCCTTTGTGTCCTGCGTTTTGATTCCACATACCTGTATATTGATTTTCCATATACAGAATGTTTTTATCCTCTGCTAACACCCCACATCCCTTCTGGCAATTCCTTGAAAGTAATGTTAGGTTTTAAAATACTTATCAGAGGAGCAAACACCTATGAGCCACAGCTATACATAATGCTAGAGTATCATACTGTGATACTCTAAGGATAAGGTCTCCAAGGCTTACTCCCATGTACATCTCGCTCAACTGGCTTCATCCTGCAATGAACAATACCATACAGTATAAAGAGCTCTTGGCCAGAAAGAATGCAATTGCGATATAGAGTCTTCTTCTTCAGGAAGAGCTGCATTCAGGACAAACGCAAACCAACACAATCTGAAAGACTCATAAAATTAAATATATTAGGTCTGAAAATACTTACAGGAGGAGCAATGAGCCTGTGAGCCATAGCCATCATACTGTGAAACTCCAAGGATGAAGATCCCAAGTGGAATACCAAGACCATCTAAAGAAAGAACACCTGCTTCTCCACCCAAGCTGTGTTCACTCCAATAGTATTCTGTCCCTGGGACTGATCTCCACTGGCTTTTCCCAAAGGTTATCTCGTCTATTGCAATTCCATTGGGTTCTGAGGTTTTGGCTACAATGACAGCATAATTATCAAACTGGCTCATCTTATCAATGTCATATGATCTGCAAAAGCTTGTAACAGCTGGAATATTAATGAGCAATGGTCCATGGCCTTGGCTTTCACCACCAGTAGAGAAGAAAAGCACCTGGATTACAGAATTGGCAGAAATGTAAATTGGCTCAGAAGAAAGTTTGTTTAACTGGACGACTTCTCCAGGTTCCAGGTTCTGGGAGTTTAGCCTATCTCCCTGTTGATATTTGAGATAAGTGTTTTGGGAAGCAGTTACATACAGAGTGCCATCTCTGTTTTCGAAAGGGAGCAGAGGGACAATGAAGAAGGTGCTCCAGCTTGAAATGGGCAGCAGCTGTTCAACAACATGGTTGCAAGCAACGTCTTTCATAATACAGCTGTGTCCACTCAAGACAGCCACGGGTTCCTTTGATTCCACCCTGGTACCTGATAAATCATCTGAGCTTTGCAGCTGGACTGCTTGGAATGCACCAAGATTAACAGAAAGTTTACTTCCTTCAGAATAAACCTGGGTATTGTATATCACCTCTCCTTTTAGATAAATATCAATATCAGTGGCAGTTTCCTGAGCTACAATGGCAAATTCCTTGAAACCATCTGCAGTACTATCCTTTGGGGTTACCACATAATATACTCTGCCTAGCTGGTGGACTGGGAACACAAGGGTAGTGCCAATGGAAGAGCCTTCACGGCTGCGGGCAAAGACAGAGATTTCTTTGTCAGCTTCAATGAACACAGTCCCATCAAAAACAGCTGATCCAACCATCTCAATTGTGTTTGGGAGCCTAATTGTTGTTGTCATGCCTTTGTTGACTGGAAATGTTCTCCGGTACATAGACTTGCTTACTGTCACTCGGACAATGGTTGCAGGATGATGACCGGTAATGAGCAGCTCATATTTAATGTCAGATGAATTGGGTTGGTTTTTCTGGTGGTTTTGCATGAAAGCTGTGACAAATTTTTTTCCATGAGGACTTGCTCTTTGGGAGCCTAGAAGAAGAAACAAAGATTTTGGTCAGATTTCTCTCAAGCTATCACACAAGAAGTGACAAGAGCAGACTTCCAAAGGCATAGAATTGCTGATAACTGTGGTATAATGAGGTAAAAAACATTCTCTTGGGCGGGGGGGCGGGGGGGGGAGTCCAAATAGCTCTTGTTCTGCTTTCAGGCTGTTCTGCTCTCAGACTGTTTGCTTGTAATTGTGCGAGAACCAGCTCTTACAGTATTAAAAAGAAAGGGATTGAGAATCAGGGCTAACCCTACCGTTACACAAAGAGAGGTGGCCACCTCAGATGGCAGGTTCTGAGAGGTGACAACTTGAGGATGACAGAGAGAGACTGATCATAAGAAAAAGACTCCCTTAAGTCAAGCTGAACACCTAGTAACCATATGGACACATTCTTCTTTTATTGGGAACAAGATAGAAATGGTTTGTTTTTGAGGAACAGTTTATCAATTATTTAATCTAGCCAACTGCTCTAAATCCTGGTGGTCCTGCAAGGGTCGGAGTGTTATAAAAAAATATGTTTTGGGGTCTGGATGGATTGCATAGTCACACAGCCATTCTTTGCATTCCTACGAAGAAGAAGCAAACTTCAGAGAGCTCTTCACACTGTCTCTTTATAAAGCAGGACATTTTGCTTTATAAAGAGACAAAAAAGCTAAGACCGCTATGGATCATCTCAAACACATTTCAAAAGAGCTCCAGCTCCAGGCATTCTTTGCTCCCTAAATAGATCAGCAATTTTAAGCCTGGATTTTTGAAAAAATTGGAAATCTAGACAGAAAAGAGCCAGAGCAAAAATTTACCGGTTGGCTAATCTTCACTGATCAAGTACATTTAAATGCTAGAGGTAACCTTAGAATGGTCTTGAGAAGATACAGTTCAAATTTTCCCTTTATGCCCAGGCAAATATAGAGAGTCCCCAAATTCCTTACATACATTTGAAACAAGAGAAGCGCGTATCAAACAGTCCAGCTTACTCACCACATAATTGTACCAAGCCAGCCAAAAGGAACAGAAGTCTCCTCAGTGCCATAGCTGCATGGGAAGGGGAGATTAAAAAAGGTTTTTTTCCTGCATGGACACACACTGCAATAGTGATCTCCCACTCATCCTTTAATTAAAGATGTTATTGTCCAGGAAAAGAAATGGAAACAATCAGAAGAATCAATGGGAAAATGGAGGAAATTTTGAAAATGTGTTTCCTTGCTGTAGTTGGACTCTGCCCCCCCATTTTTTTTTTTAACAGCTTTGCATCTCTAGAGACTGCATAATCTTTTGCCATTCCCATTCATCTGTATGGGATTAAAAGCACACACTACATGCCATCATTTCTGGTAGTGTGATGGAATGGAGTTATAAAAGCCGTGGTCAGGGAGATAAGCATGCCCTTAGCCCCCGGCAAGAGCATGGGAGGTTTAAGAAGATGAGGCTGGCACCACCCTAAGGAATTCATGGTGTTGTGGCTTACTGTCTTGGGAACTTAGGTTCAATCTGGAGAGATTTCTGTCTTGAGGTAGAAGCTAATAAACGCAACAGAACTGTATCTGCACTGTCTCATGGAGTTCTTTGGGCTGAACCTGACAGGTAGCAAGCTACCAATCTCTTTCCCATGAAGAAGCAACTTCCTTTACACCATTGAAACTATCGTCAGCAGCTTTCCAGGGTGGGGGTGCATAGCCCATCATTGATTAGGGGGCAAATGTTATTTATTGATTCAATTTGTATAGTCACCCATCAAACCTAATTGACATTGGGAGACTTGCAACAATTTAAAATGTCAACAAAAAACAGCACAATACAAATAAAAACAAAACATATAAAACCATGTCAAAACCATAAAACACATTTGGCAGGCAAGTGTAATGGGAAAAAGGAATAACCCTGAGGAACAGGAGGAAGAGCTGTTACCAAGACAATGGTCAGATAAAAGAAATATGAGTCAGGGCCAGAACTGTAACCTGAGAAAGCATCTTAGGAAAGGCCAACCCTAGTTCTCACTGGTAGGGAAGCACATTCAGACTCACAAGATTCTGTTACAATAGCACTATAATAAAAGTAGTATTAGCCTGCATGACTTTGGTTCCTAGCCCAGATCCACCTTGAAGGGCTGATAGCAGGTTACCAAAACATTCAACATAGCCATTGAACAGGTTCTACACCATCACTGGATCCCCAAGGCTGGTGGCTTGTCTACGGGGCCTTCTGGCATAGGCTTGGTCTTTTTGACACAAAGCTCTCACAAAATGACTTCCATGGTGAGCACAGGCGTCTCCACAACAATTGGATTTCCCCCCCTAAATGATTAATCATGATATCACAATGCAAGCTTGCATACTTACATGCAACAGCACAGTGCACATTTCATCATTTTTTCCCACCCCCATGGATACTTATGGGTGGGCGTTATGGGGCACAAAACCCTTTTTATCAAAAGCAAATCAGTGAGATGTGTTAAAAAGCCACTTCTTCAAGAGATTAAATAAATAACAAAGTTGGAAATTAATCCCCAAACTGTATATTGCATATTTAGATCCACAAAGTATATTGAAGTATTCATTATGGGGTTATAAAACAGCTAGGATCTGGTTCAAATTGGTGCTTCAGTTTGAAGAGACAAATCAATATGTGTGTCAAGCATGCACAAAAGTCCATGAGATTTCTGAAGTTATTTGAGGGCATCTGATTTGATTTAATGCATTGAACTGACCCAGCAATTTGGTTCATCTGTTTAATTCAAAGGGCCAGTTTGGCTGCATCACCTTCACACCGAAGCTTCACACAGCAATAGTATCAATTTTATGAAAAAAATAATCAGAGAAAACACACACTGGACTCAGCCCCCACAAATGCATACACATACTCACAACATTAAAAAAACACCCTGGAAAAACCCAGAACATTATAAAGCAAACAAATCAGCTAATGACACACATTGACACTAATGAAAGCCGTACAAAAAAACACATATAAAAGTTTACATAGTACAGGAAAATACCCACCAATATCCTTCTTCATATTTAGGATTTTCAGATTCTCACTAGCCCACAGCTTTAAAATTCAAAAGGTGATTCTAGACTACTCTATATTTCTTAGACTGACAGCTTTGTTAAAAGTGGAAGGAAATAAGTTCTGCTTTGTGCTTTTTGGAGAAAAATTGGGGACATAAATAAAATCAGATAAAGGGAACCAGGCAAGATCTATTCTGATTTCTATAAACTGCAAAAGTAAAGAAAATCAAGCAGCATTAGCATTTTTTAAAACTTTACTTATGTCCTCAGTTTGTCTTCAGAGCCTTTGGGATAGAATTTTCAATTTCCTAAAAACCACAACTGATCAGATTCAGTGCCCCATCCTTCCCTATGCGGATACTGTAATACAGAGGCCCTGTTCTTCCTGACAGCTGAAAAACTTGGAGCAGAGCCTCATCTGGTAAGGTGGAATGTTCTCCTCTTCTTCATTGTCAGTAACATCCTTCTAAAAGTCTGGGTTCAAAGAGGAACTGATCAGGACTGCAAGCTGATAGAGGGAAAAACCTGAGGCTTGCTTGAGATGACTCAGGTATGATCTCTTGTTCATACCTAGCCTGCAGGAACAGCTTAGGAGTCACCTAAGGCCCAACGCTGAGAAGCCTCTCTTACCTTCAACCCAGGAGATCAGTCTTGGTTTGACAGAGCAGGAGGAGAAGGGAGAAACCTTCTCTTCTCCTCTGGCTTTATCACTGTTCCTTCCCCTTTTTGTAGAGAAAGAAAACAAAGCCAGATTTCCAGTGAATTTCTATGAAACCTTCTTAAATCCCCAAAGGCTTGGGGTTATTACTTGGAAAAATAGAAGGGGGAAGGAAGCCTGTCCATTACACCCTGGCTGACTTTTTGACAATGAAATCAGGGACTTGAATGAAAACACCTGTGATTTTTTCCCCCAACTACATGTTCAGAAATAAAAATACTAGCAATCTAAGAGACAGATTTCCAAGAGAGAAGTTGATCATTCAACCAATCTTAACCATAATAGAAAACCAGAAGCTAGTGGGTAATATAGATATTAGTCCACAAGGTACTAATTGGTCCACAGAGTTTCTTAATGATGGCATCTGATACATTTGCTCAAATCAATATTAAACTGGAGGGGAAAAACACAAAGAAATTTGCAGTTGAATGAATCTGATTTATGAGACAAGCAAATGAAATTGACATTGATTATTGATTGACTCACCCATATCAGATGAATCTCTCTTAGAATCTACAGCTGCCTTGCAGACAAAGATAATCTTTCATCTGAAAGGATGAAAATGTTCCTTTTACAGAATGATCTGTTATAGGGCTACAGAAGCGGGGAGAAGCCATAAGGGCTGAAGTTCCTCCTATTATTGAGGTATGGGGAGTGAAATTAGTTGGCCAATTCCTACCACCATTGGTGAATTCTGACTGAGAGCTATTACTGCTGATTTGTTATTACCCATCCATTCTTGAGGTGGCCAGAAATTATACCATGAACTTTGCCACCCCATTGATGAGTCCTATCCTGCCTCTCTTATTTCTGTTCCCAGCCAGTGCCTATCCCCCAACTTCCCTGCAAGGCAATAGATGACAAAGCCTGATAGATGTTATATACGTTAGTTACCTTGGACTGCGACAGAATAAATGCTACTTTAATACTGGTATAACTAAGGCAGCTTAGACCCATCTCATTCATGAGTTGGAAAGGAGAAGAAGGTAACATCATGGAGACATAGCAGACAAAAGAAGTCACCAAGCTATCTTAGGGCCTCAATTCGGAGCAAATGGGGAAAGGCCCCATGTCTCATTGAAATAATTACCAGAACTTCAGGGGTCTGGCCACTACAGGCAGGTTGGGTGAACATTTTTGTAACACTTTTTTTTTTTGCTTTCTTTATCCTCTGAGGACCTTTGAGAAAAGAGACTAAAAGTGTTGGGGATTGTTTGTGTTTAGGGCAGGTTAGGAAGTTTAAAGATGCAATATAGCTGCGTTGGGGCTTAATGTATCTATGTTCGCTTTTGTTTGGCTTTAAAATATGAAAAAATGGTCACACCAAACTTTCAGTGGTGGGATCTAGGACATGTTCCTGGAGCCACATGTACAGTTCAGGCTAGAGATTGCCTGCCCTTGTGTTACAGCAAGAGGAGTACATAGGTGAGCACTGATGATGTAACCTACTCAGGTAATGAAACATTTGCAAGAAAACAGCCAAGCTCAGAGAACTCCAGGGACTCCATAGGTGAACAAACCTGGAACCTCCCCTATTGCTTTGGGCTTCATTTTGATCAGTGTTGTCCAAACTTGGCCACTTTAAGATGAGTGGACTTCAACTCCCA